AATGAGCATAATAACAACACATCAACAACCACACTTCATAACAGCCATTGTTATTTAGTATTCCTAGTATTCCTAGTTATTTGGTATTCCAAGCACTTAGCAGGCTCTTTATGTGCATTGTTTTAGTCATTCCTTCCAGCAGACAGTCAACATGGTTTTGTTACACAAAAAATACTTAGTCTCTTGGCCACCTCCACTCAATAAGTAGGTGACAGAGGTAAAATTAGAGCCCATGTCTGTTGTGAGGCATGTTCTAGACAACTGCAAGCTAAATTAAATGAATTGCTTTTAGAAAAAACACTAAAAGGATTTTAGTCCTACATTTTAGAAACATTATTGCACTGCTAATATTGTTTTTCTGAAACATGTCCTGCTCCCCAGAGGACAAGTTACTTTTTCAGGGTGGTTTTAGGAGGATACAGATGATTTTGCATTAGCTCCAGTCAACACAAATCTAACAACTGGAGTTCATCCAAGCCTAGAGACTTCCCCCAAAAGCTCATATAAATAAAAACCAAAACATTGTCTACCAAATGCATCCAGTCTGTTCATCATAAGAAAGAGACCAGGGCCAGGGATTTAGCTCAGTGGTTTCGCCGCCTGCTGCGCAAGCGCAAGGACCCGAGTTCAATCCCTGGTATCAAAAAAAAAAAAAAAAAGAAAGAGACCAACAGGGTAGTTTCTCCATCTAAATCCCAGGTACTTCCATAGTGTACCCACGTTAGTTTGCATAATAGAAGAATGAGGGACTCTTAGCGTGGCCTTGCTTCTATTCAGAGACAGTGTAGTGGTGGAACCCAGTTAAAATCTTCCTCTGCCATTCATTCTGTGCAAATTTGGATACCTATTTATCATCTGTTTCAGTTGCCTCTTTGTAACATGAAATTTTATAAATTCCCAATTTCTTAGGGCCTTTATGAAGATCAAATGAGTTAATGTTCATAAAGTCCTAAAATAGTAAGTACTTGGCATATAATAAATGCTATTAAAGTGTTAGCAAAAGAACAAACTTTTCTGTCCCTTCCAACCACCATATAGTAGCTCAGCCTCCTGTCTCCATCAGTCCCAGAACACTAAGGCCCCATTGCTGCTTCTGTCCAGAGGAGTAAGTGAGTGAGTGCGCTTGAATGGCAACAGGTCCCTTTTCCTTTGAATTACCAGGGCTGGACTACTACACTCTTTGTTGTTTCTTCCCATTTTCTGAGCATCACAAAATGCTACATTCATGTGTCAAGGGATCCAGGATTGTATTTTAACATTTTACAGCCTCTTTGTAAAGCTACCTTTTCAGTTTTAGTGGAGGCAGTTTTATGACTCCCTTTGATAACCACTTAACTATTAAGACCCAAACAAAGAAGAGGAATGGTCAAAAGATATCAGGTACTCCCAACCAGCTAGAGTCCCACTTCTTGAACATTATTCAAATTAGCTCCAGGACTCATAATTCTGTGGTTTCATTTATTGCTGCAGTAAAGTAAATGGTTCTTTTATCCAAATGTTATTTCCTGGCTATTAATTCAGTAGTTATTTTGGATTGTGACACTCCTCTTTGATTTAGGGATATGGCACCTTATAAATATTTAAAAGTTGAAGACTGACACTTAGAAAAATTGATTGATTTGTTTTGTTAATATCATGTGGCTAGAGTAATTAGAGGTTCGGAAGACGCCGTCCCATTCTGTTTCTCAGAAGAGATGAGGTACGTGTATCTCTAGGACAAGAAATTTGGCAATGGAAGGCTGTTCCCAGATCTTTCACAGACAAGCCATCTACACTCAGTTCCTGGGGATGCACACTGTTGTCTACTCTTCATTTCCTAGAACCTGGTCTTGAACCCAGCAATGTAGGAATGAAAACTATCTACACTTCTCAAAATACCTGAAAATGGTCATTCTTGAATGGCTTGGACCTTTTTCTGCATCTACAAGTGCCAGCCAGGGTTTATGGCAGGGCTCAGGGTGATCTATAGACTGGTATGATTTAACTGTGGATCAATCAACCTATTAGGAGAAGAAAAGACAAGGTCAATAAGGCTGGGGCTTGGTGAACCAGAGATCATCCCACATTTTTCAACCTAATGTTCTTATTTCCTTTCCATTAACATTTCATAATGAAAAAATGCCTATATTCTTTAATTTTTAAGACAATTAAGTGAATTTAGTGCTTCTGTAGGGTAGAGGATTTATAATGGCATGAGGGAATACATTAATAATCTGCAAGACAGAGGCCACCTGGACAGCAGCAATGCTGACTCCATAGCCATTTCCGTTCCTTGGTGACAAACTGTAAGAGGGTTCAGCCTTCTATACCAATATAGAACTGAGATCTGAAACACTTGTTTCCTTTGGGACAGGGCCTCTATCTCTTGGGAAATGGTTTCTTCGTTCTGTTTGAATTTTAATTTGAACAAATTGCAACAAGTACAGGTCTTTCTGAGTACCTAGTATTCTCTATATGCAAATCCCTGAGACCTATGAGGGGAGTTGGGTTGTTCTGGAGCTTCCTTTGTGAAAAGAAACATGGCACCTGCTTCACCTATGACAGCTGGGTAAATACACAACAAGAGAAAGAGGTCTCCATGTTTGCAGGCAGACTTGTTTGCACATAGAAAGGGATTACCTCTGACTTCTCCAAGATGACGATTTAAGGTATCATTTAATAAAGATAATTTTAGTGCTTTTTGGATAAAGAGAGTAGGTTAAATAGTCTCATTTTCTTTTGTTCCCTCCCGAAGCCTTGCTAAGACAACAGTAAAGGAATTTTCTTAAGCCATAAATTCTCAAAGCCAAAGATATTGGGAGAGAGTTTAAGAGTAAAAACTTTTTGGAAGCTAGAAAACAGTTGGGTGAATATTAAGTCAGCAAACCCAGGAAAGCCAAGATAAGCCAAGAAAAAGAAAACTGTGAGATTCAGAAGCAAAAGAGAGATGAAGGAACCACTAGAGAATGAACACTACACATCAGACATAGAAGGCAGGCAGTCTGCACTGGAGACATGCAGAAAATTCTAGGAGTGTTTTCTCCATGAATCAATGGAGTCTCCAAAGATCTAACATTTTGAGAGGAGACTTAAGCAACTAGTAGAGAGTTTAAGGGTTGAATAATCATAGATATACAGGCAACTAAGCACACATTAAAGAAGACAATTATTAACTCTGTAGGAAAAGTCATTATAGTAATCACATGACTTATCTATGTCTGTCTTGTACAGAGTCATAGTAATATAAATGCTGAATCATATCAAAATAAAGTATATGTATTAGGGGATTTAAAAAGTTAGCATATAAAGCTGCAGAGTATGGTAGATGTAGTATAAAACAGCTTCAATGGTGAAAAGTTAATTGAAAATATTTAAAACAGAACATAATCAAAACTAAAATCACTAACACCTTACTTTGTCAGAGACACATACACAAAAATCATCTAGATTATTTGAAAGCAGTTGCCCCTGGGTAAGAGAAAATTTTTGTACCAGAAGAGTACTACTACTGTGTGTGAGTGAATAAGAGTGTGTGTCAGTGTGTGTTTTTCTTTGTGTAACTAGCTTGTAGAGCTAATTTACTCTTAAAACTATGTGCATTTTTAATTTTGATTAAAAATATTTATAAAGTAAAAAATAAAGTGCTCATGTGGAGGTCAGAAACTCCAAGAAAAGGCACATATACATAGAGACTTTCCACCCTGTTTGAATTTCACAACCCTTACCTTTTAATTGCAAAAAGCTACAGTGCATGAACATGTCAACATATTTAAGTGATTTACTTAAGGATAAAAGTACTAATTTTAATAAAACTGTAGAAATTATATATTATATATTTATAAATTATATTTAATTTAATCTGTGTAATTAAAATAATTGTGTAAATTTTAATAAGATGAATTTTATAAATTGTATAAATATACATAATATATAATAAATTTATATATGTTCATTGTTCTTCCATATTGTGGGGGAATAACTAGTGTTTGGATTGTCATTTAGATATGTGAATTCTATAGAAAAGAATAGGGAAGAAAGGATTGATTATGTGGTTTCTGGAATGCTCAGAGTGACTGGGGCCGGATTTAATTGCTCAACCAAAGCAGTTCCAGGGCATAAATTATCCCTAGTGTAATTTATAGCCAAAGAATAGAGTAGGAATATGAATACAGTGTAGAATGGTCTCTGATAACATGAAAACGTAGAAGAGAGTCCTTCACCAAGAATGGCCCAAAAGATATGCTACACCTGCTGACATCAACATGAAAATGATTTCCAAAGACTTTTCCCCTCCTCTTTAGGTTTGTGTGGGGCAGTTAATCGACAGCTGCCTAATACAGGCATTTTGGAAACTCTGAATATGTATGACCAGTATTGTGATTACGCTATGAAGTTTGTACAGAATGAAGTTAAACAATATAGAAGAATTTATCCCTTCAATGAAACATGCTTATGCCAACCCTCCAAATTTCTCTACAGTATTTTATCAAGGCAACATATTTTGCACCAGAACTATGCTGTCTGATCCTTTCTGTTCTTTTGAATATACAGAATATGTGTGTAACAAAGAGCACATGAAAGCTACAGCATATAAGGACACAAGAAACAAGGCAAAGTGGTGTCTTCCCATCTTGCTCTCCTGAATAGCAGCAATTAAAATTCACAGCTGCTGGTTTCCCAGATGTTTCTTGCATTTAGTGTTCTGTAATATGCATCAGAATATATTGTATGACCATGGTTTTAGTAAACTAGAGAGTTCTGTATTCTAAATTGTGCAGACTGGATCCAATGTATATATTTTATCTTCTGATTACCTTCCCTCCTCCTCTTGCTCCATTTGCTTGGGGCATTTGCAGCTCCGAAACAAAAGACATTTACAGCTCAGAGTTTAGCTGTATCAGGGTGTAAGCACAGGTCAAGCCTGAATTATGTGGCACTTCTGATAAGCAGGGGAGGAGAGCAGGACACAGGGTTGGGAAATCTGGTGAACTTGGCTCGACTTAAGTCTTTTGCTTTTTTAGGCAGCCAACATCCCTTTGGTGTCTGAACTGGCCATTGATGACATTCATTTTGATGACTTTTCCCTTGACGTTGATGCCATGATCACAGCTGCTCTCCGGATGTTCATGGAGCTGGGGATGGTACAGAAATTTAAAATCGACTATGAGGTAAGATGTGGTCTTGGGTGATCCAAGAAGCACACCTGGGACAATGTGTCAGATGCTCTTAAAAGCAGGTTTTTTAAAGACAAAATGGGGATGATTGTTCCTGCCCTGCACACTCATGAGATTGCCTTGAGATTCTCATTGGATGTTGGTGGAAAGGATTTGATAGTCTGCTGGTTACACATCCAACTGCCTGACACAACCTCTCCCTTTCCATTTCAGACACTGTGTCGCTGGCTTTTAACAGTGAGGAAAAATTACCGAATGGTTCTGTACCACAACTGGAGACACGCTTTCAATGTGTGCCAACTGATGTTTGCGATGCTAACTGTAAGTGTGTTCAGTGATGGTGGAAGGTCACCTTTCATTTGTGGAGACCTACAGGTCTTCTCCTTTATGTCTCTATTTCTCTACCATGTGACTAGACCTTACCTGTCCTTGTTATGGGAGAATATATTTGAAAACAATTTCTGGACTTTAAAGCTGTAAAATCATTGACATTTTGACACAGATGTAGCCTTAGAATGAGAACTTGAGCCTCTTTTCTATGTTCTTTCTTGGTAAACTGGTTCTTTTACAAGAAAAGTGCTTGAACGTTCAGTGTAATCTTTTTGCAGAGGAAGTGGAGATGAGGAACCCCAGATAAGATACTATGGGTTTCTGGAGAGCCACGGTGGGGTGGTAGAAATCTTGAGCAAATGCTTATTTGAGAAAACACCCAAAGAGGCCACAGGATAAAGAGTGGGTAGGAGTGGGTGCCCTCAAGTGAGAGGCTCAGTAGACTTAAATGCTGTGCCCCTGGGCTCCCACCCAGTGACGGTGGTGAGGCTGTGTTATAGGACAGACAGCTAGAGCACTGGGCCAGAGGCAAGCATTTGAATTAAATCTGACACCAAATGTTTACAGCAAAGATTGTAGCAATCCTCCATTCAGCCCCTCTTACTGGCAAGAATTAGGGCTTATTTTTCCTTTACTTCCCCTTACATTGTTAAGCTATTATCAAGAAAAATGGTTTCTGGTTTACATGTGTTAGCATCTTTGGTCTCATAGTAATATATGCATACATATGTATAGCACACATATGTGAAAAACGTATATAAATATGTTTACCATACCAAAAAGAGAATGTGACCTTTAGATTCTCAAAATATAAATACAAAAAACCATGTATCTTCACATCTTAAAGTTGAACACAAAACAGGGAATTCCTTGATCCAAATCTATTTCTCCAGGAAAATCTCCATCCTATTCTCTGCCTATTCAAATTTTATTCATCTTTTAAGGCATTAACCTAATGCCAGGTTTTTCCCTTTCTCCCAAAGCATCAATAATTACCTTTCTCCTCACTGTCTACTGAGCATTTTAAGTTACCCAATCTTTCATTCTCCTCTAAAGTAAACTGCACAAGGAAAGAGACGATTTCTTATTCTTTCAACAACAGTCACATATTTGCTAAACACATGTTTATTGAGGGCCCTACCAGCACCTTGCACTCTGTCATGTACTTGTTAGGTTTGCAACAAATGTCCATTGGATTGACTTGAACTCAAGTGTTCATACAGTATATGAAGATGGGAAGGCTGCTAGTCATGGCGCATGCCTGTAATCTCAGCACTCTGGGACCTATAGGAGGATCACAAGTATGAGCCCAGCCCAGGCAATTTAGCAACATAGCAAAACCTTGTCTCAAAATGTAAAAAGGGACTGGATGGGCCAGAAATTTAGCTCAGTGGTTCTGGCCCACTAGCACAAGTTCCTGAATTCGATCCCCAGTACCAAAAATAAATAAATGAAATAAAAAGAGACCAGAGATATAGCTCAATGTGAAGGATTTTGGTTCAATCCCCAGTACAGAAAAAAGGAGGAGGAGGAGGACGAGGCAGAGGAGGAGGGGAGAGGGGGAGGCAGAGGGATCTGGAGAAGGAGGGGAAGGAAGAGGAGGAAGAAGGGGAAGAGGGA